CAGTAAGAGGTTTTTATTTAATAGAATTTTTGTACAAAAGAAATCGCAATATATCGCCTTGCTTACAGTATCGCAATATATCGTATCGTGATCCCTCTGTCATGATATGTATTGTATCGCCAAATTCTTGCCAATACACAGCCCTAATGTAGATATCTGATTTGTGGCTAGCCATTTCACATTCGTTGTTTAAACTTAGAGCGATAAAGCCTAACAGCATCTCACCTGTAGCTCCTGCAGAATGGCAGCAGCCTCTTTGACCTCTCCATTCTGCTCTTTGATATTTGCCAGTGTCTTCGTTAGCCTGGCACGCTCAATCTCCACATAGATCTGTGAGGTGAACACATTTTTACTGTTATTAACAGTCACGCAATGAGTACGAAAGGAATATGAACAAATAAATAAATAGTTTTGTCTCACAAGGTCTAGTTATTACATGAATCTATTTCAGACCTTGCCAGCAGTCACAGTGCGAAGTGTGTCGATAAGTCTCAGCTTGATCTTCAGATCAGTAACAGCGTCGACATATTTGTAACATTCTTGCACCATTTTGGCAACAGCCTACGACAAAGAACACAGCACAGAATTTATTTAGGACTTATTAACAAAATGACAAAGAAAGACTGCGGGTTATTTAATTCAAATTTATTTACACATTGCAGTGCAAATGTGTCTGCAATTATTGAGAAAATACATCAAAAATCTAAGTGGATTTAGTCCAACCGTTGCTTTTTGTAAAAATTACTTTTAAACTAATAATATTTTTCAAATTATGTAAGAACAAACTTGTTTTTACTTGTTCTCCTAAGATGATCTGAGCACATGGATAAGATTTGTAGGCATTATTTTCTAAAAACAAACATGGTAGAAAACAGCACTCTGTGTAAAAGACATGTTCACCTGTTTGAGCTGACTTCTCCTTTTCGAGAGTAACATGATGTTTTCATTCAGAGCATCCCAGTCCTTGGCTTCATAACACATTTGGACCACAGCTACAAGGATTCTGGAGGTGGACACCATATCTGATGCCTGAGAAACACGGATTGAAATGAACACATTACATCACATCACATCACACAGAGCCTTATATACAGGATGAATATAAAACAGCTCTATAGCCTCTCAAGTTATTGTCAAATTACAATGTCCTGATGCATCTCAGTAATCCAGGTAAAAATTCAAAAAGAAAAAAAATTGTATAGGTCTTCTGGACGGGTTCTTCTCTAATGAAGAAAAGAGACGAAACATTTCATTAGAGAAGAACCCGTCCAGAAGACCTATACAAATTTTTTTCTTTTTGGTCAAATTACAATAGCATATCAATGTTCAGAGACCCCCAGAACAGTGATAACAACAAAACAGGGCTAAAGTTTACGACTTTAGTGTACTTTGTAGTGTCTGTTTGCTATCCCACTTTATTGTAAAAATAAATAAATAAATAAAATAAAACAAGAAACACACACTTAAGATCAAATCAAATCTGATTTATTTGTTTAGCCAATTTAAAAACAGTTGTTGTTGGCAGAACACAAAAACAAACGTCAAAAAGACAAATTATCAAAAGTAAAAATTTGACGAGACATAGAAACCATTGAATATAAAAAAGAGAAGTCACAAAAGAGAAATCACACACACGACAGGCCCTGGAGCAGTGTGGTTATCCTGACTGGGCTTTCCTGAAAGCAGACAGGAAACACAGACAGGAC